AAATTTGCGACAAGTTTTGCGGACATTTTGGTATTTGCCGCAAATTTGTCAGTCAAGTTTTCAAATTTGGCTTTAAAAACTTGCCGCAAATTTCCAGAAAATTATTGTGCTATGTGGGCTGCTTGTTCACTTTCGCTAAGGAAAGTATCTTCTAATAATGAGTCATCAGAAGTCTCGATGTTTTCAATGACGTCTTCAATGTCTGGATAAAATACTTCACTTTTGCAGAAATCCATACTAAATAATATGAAAAATTCATTTGTGTTCTATGAGAAGAATAGATTTTAGTTTTTACTCTAAAACATACAGGTACTTTTAATACTGAAATTACTTTATAAATCAAAGCTTGTAATAATTTTATAAATATTACATTATTTTGAAAATTTAATTAATTATTAAGTATATCTTAACATTAAATTATTTTAGCAGTAAAAGTACAGAATTTTCCAGTAAAAGAACATAGCAAATTTATTTTTTAAAACAACTATTAAACTATTATAGTAACCAAATAAATTTTCATATTTCATTTAAAAAGTAATTTTACAATTCGTATTTGCTTTTATTTATTTATATATAAATTAGTATCATTACTTTGTCATTTCAAAGTTTATTCAATTAAGACCTGATTTAAAAAAGCAATCCTTCTACCGTAATGGGTTCATGAATTTATTTGATTTTTTAAATGAAAAAATTATAATTTCTACAAATTGGCTCTTGACACTTTTTTGCAATGTCATTCTTTAAATATGATAATAGAGAAACATAAAATTTGGAAAAAATATTAATAATAATCTTTAAAACAATTTACTTAACATTGTTACTAAAATTAACAGTTACTAAACATTGTAGGTCAATCTTAAAGGGTGGTTTGTCACTGGGACGTTTGAGGAAGAAATAAAACACTTTGATCAATTGATTTGAAATTATCACATGCAACTGGATATTCTGGAAGTGCAAAAGATGCAGTAATGAACTTTGAAAATAAGGCTTTCGAAATTTTTCCAATTAAAAGCTTAGAGGAAGTTACAGGCGTTGAACAAAAATTACGGTCTAAGAAATTTCGAGAAAATTTAGTAAGTGCTTTATCACATTATAATATTAATGGAATAAATGATTAGGTAAATTACAGAATTGTAATATAACTGTCGCCAACATGCTAAATCATGTAATAACTTTCGAAACTGGTCAGAAGTATTCTTTTAAGGGGCGTAGCAACAAGAAGCCTGCCTTCGAAAGTTTAAAGTTATGTTCAGTAATAATACATAAATTAGACAAATTATATAAAGGAAATAAAAATATTTTAGTTGAAAAGTAGTAGAGATCACAATGGTTTTTGTACTTCACATTAGGTAGAAAAGCCTTAAGCTAAATCGCTTCTTAAAATTAAAAATTTTTAATTTTAAGAAGCGATTTAGCGTTAAAACTGTAAACTTTTCAAATTAAAAAAAAACAACAATACAGTAGATACCCCATTATCCGGACTAATGGATGCAGACACCTATCGGGATAATCGAAAAAAGTATAAAATAAATAAATTTTCGATTTATAATTTTAGGTATTTATTTGCATATGTATTTAAATAAGACTGAAACGAAATAAAACTAGGTAAAGTTAACATTCATAGATGTTTAGGTAAAAATTTAAAGAGAAATTTCAAAATATTTACATAAACATTTTCTTAAAATCATTAAAATGCATAAAAACGCAACGTTTCGTATGAAAATTTAAAATCTATGATATTAAATGCTTATAAACTTTAAAATTAAAAACAAAAACAAAATATTTAAAATTTGTCCGGATAATGAAGTCTCTACTATATTTGATTTTAAAAACCTTTAAAAACTGGTATTTTCTAAAAATATATTATATAATCACGTAACCTACTGCACGCAATTTTCAAGTTTTTCAAAACTTGAGTAATTTTAAAATGTTTTTAAAAAGGGACTTAAATATAAAGTGTAATATATACCTTGTTTTTGGAATTTCGTTAATTTAAGGAAAGAGAAAAAAACAAATGAAGTAATAAAATATTTTTTCATTTAAAAGCTGCGATGGATTTAATAAAGCAGGACGAAGAGACCATTAAAAATGGCATCAAGGCTTGGCTCCATCACTCAAAACAGAACATACGATTAAGGTAAATTACTTTTTTCTTAATAACAATGTATCAAGAAGACTTTCAGGTGATGAATTAGTAAAAAACAAACATTTTTTAATTCTTATTTTTTTAAAATGGTTTTTAATAATATGTGCCCATAAAAATTTTTATAACATTTTTCTTTTGCACATTTCTTAAAACTTGTTTTGAGACAATTATTTCATGATTCTAAAGAACATTTTTAAACAAAAACTTTTCCGAAATTCTTAAGCAGAAAGTCCTCTTAATGAAGTTATTTTTTTAATATTCTTATACCATTTATTTCATATCCGTAAAAAGCCATAAACATTGAACAATTTTTACATTTCAGAACTTTATTGGAAAAAAAGCAGAAAATGAAAGATTAGCCGTATTAGAGGAATCTGAAAACTCTTCTAATGATGAAGAATAAATTTCTTTGTTTCATACTTTGTTTAGTATTACCATGTTCACTTTGATTGTCAAATTTCCACTTGTCAAAATCGTCCAGGAGCATGAATTTTGGTAAGTTTATTAATCTCAAAATAAAAGGAAATTTTACATTAAAATTATCAGGGTTGCCACGGACCTGGGAATCCTGGAATTATCACGGAATTTTTTTGTAAAGAAATTTTATAAAGTCTCCTAAAAATTCAATTTGAATTGAAAAATTCTAAACAAAACTAAAATTTTAAATTCCTATAATTTTCTCCATATTTTGCAAGAACTCTTAATTGAGTTTAAAATTCTTTAAAATATTGTCTGGAGAAGTCATGGGATTTTAAAACTGGTGTTTTATGGCAACCCTTAAGTTTGAAGATGAAAATTTTTTTTCGTTTCTAATTTAAATTAATTAAATTTTTCTAAATTTTTGCTTTCATAAGAAATATTTTTTTCAGATCTCTACAAATTTTATCAGCGAATGCTCTCCAAGAAGGACGATTTGGCGAATTTATATTTAATATTAAAAATATAATAAATAAAAATTTACTTTAAAATTATTGGTTTTTGAACTTTTTAATCCTATATTTTATTTACAAATTTATTTATTTTGAGGAACACTTTTTAATTTCCTATTTATTAAATGGCTCATTTAATTCAGAGAAAATTATCAGCGCAAACATTCTACAAACTATTTGTTTAAGCTCGAGTTTGCATTGCAAACTCCTCGCCAGTAGGACATTTTTCTATTTCCCATAAGTTCGCTGCGAGTTCGCCATGCGAACTCCCTGCGAACTTCCTGCAAACTATGGTGCTATCTGGATCGTGATTGAGGCTGTCAATATATCAATTGCATCTCTTTTTAGTCATTTCTGCTCCCATTTTTGTCTGAGACAATCCCTGGCACCAGGGAAAGATTTGAAGCGAGTGGATGAATGAGTTTCCTGCAAGGTGAATTTAGTAAATTACTTGATGAATCAAAGGTAATTGTATCCGAAATCAAAAGTCTTCGAAATTCAGAAAACCATGGTTGGGAAGAGCAATAAGGAACTACGATAATTCCAGTGGATTTTTCGTCTCTGATTTTTTTTAGGATTTTAGTGATTAGAGAAAAAGGAGGAATGCGTACCAAAATTCTCCCCTCCAGTTTATTGTCAATGCGTTTATTGCAATCGCTTCTGGATACCTTTCTCATGAGCAAAATCGAGTACATTTAGTGTTTATACGTGTAGCAAACAAATCAATAGTCGGGGTTCCGAATTTACGTTTAATATCCCTGAAGGCGTAATTTACCAGTTCCCATTCTGTGTCGAGATTGGAAAGTCTGGATCCTTCGTCTGCTTTATTGTTTTTTGAGGCAACGTATTCCGCAAATATCCACAAATTTCTGCTCTGACACCATTCCCATATTTCTTTGGTAAAATTATTTAAATATTTATGTTTAGTGCCCCCCATTTTATTTATATATGCTAATGCCGTAATGTTATCGATTCTAAGGAGGATTTGCTTATTTGAATCATTTTTTACGAAACACTTTAATGCTAAAAAAGAAGCTTTTAATTATAAATAGTTTATTGGAAATATTCTTTCTGACCTATTCCAGAAACCGCTAGCTTTGTCCCTACCACAGGTTGCTCCCCACCCTGTGCCTATTGCTTCTTTTGACAATTCAATTTTTTTATTTGGATTAGTGTAAAGTCTAAGGCTATTTATTTTCAGGGTCTCCAATTCTTTGTAATATAACCAGCTATACGGAATACCTGGACAGGCTGCTACTAAGGTTCCTATACACTCAATTAAACTTTGGATTTTAATTTTATTTGAAGATAATATATTATCTAAAAGCGCTTTAATTTTTATTCTTTTTTCTCTGGTTAGTTCTAATGTCATATTATGACGTTTCCGAAGATTAAATAATCGTCGAGATAAATGACAACTTTAATTCCCCTTTATCGTAACAACGTTGCTATTATTGGTTTGCATAATTTGGTAAATGTGATGGGAGCTGAAGATAAACCAAAAGGTAGCGCTTTAAATTGGAAAATTTCGTTATTATATTCATATCTAAGATATTTTTTCTGACAATTGGACATCGGGACAGTTAAGTATGCGTCCTTCAGATCTAATCTACACAAATAATCCTCTTTATGTAAAAGGTTGAGGGCGGTTCTTAGGTCTTCGATTTTAAAATGTTCCTTTACTACAAATTTATTAAAAGGTTTAAGATTTAATATAAATCTTAATGAACCATCTGACTTAGGGGTTAAAAAGATTGAAGATAAGAATTGATCCTTTTTAAAAAAATTGCATTTGTTAATTTCCCCAAGATAATTAATTTATTTGTTACCTCATCCATGTCAGGATTGTGTTCTGAAGAAAGAGGAGGATATAATTGGAAAGGAACGTTGATTAGATCGATTTTATAACCCTCAACTATTTTCAGTATGAACGGGTCGTTTGTAATTGTTTCCCAATTTTTTTTTAAACATTGTAACCTGGCTGCAGTACTTACGGGGATGAAAATTAGCGTCGGTTCTGGTTCGGCTGCGTTAGTAGATAATTTCTTTTTGCAGGGTACGGCTTCGTTCTGTTGTTCTTGAATGTGTTTTCTCTTTGGTGGAATGATTTGAAGATCGTCCGTCCCACCTCCTTCTTTGCGGATGAGCTCTTCCAGTTTAAATGATTATTTTGACGAAGAGGAGCTTTAGTTTTAGGCTTTAAATCCTTTGACACCCTTTCCATTGCTTTTAAACTTTCTATAACGTTCCTTAAGTTGTCTCCAAAGAGGTAAGTAGTGGCTTAGATTTTTTTAAGGATATTTTGAATCCTATCTTCATATTTTCCAAGAAGGAAGGATTTTCAGTCCTGGGTCAATGAATAAAAAAGGTGACAAAAAAGTTTTACGGTAGAGGAGACATTTGATAATATTAATTCTCTATCGAGCGGATTTTCCATATCATTTGAAATCATGTCTAAAACATAAGAAGTAGCCGACAAGGCAGAGCCTGTAAAATTTTGATAGTCTTTGAAGTAATCATCCTTTGCCAGGGCCTTTGGATGTAGATCTACGGAAATTTCCTCGTTCAAGGAAGGTGCTTCGAGGTCAATTGTCCCTTTCCTTGCAATTAATTTAATTAATTTCTCCTTTTCCTCTTTTTCTGTTAGACCCTTAGATAACCATGATTTTAATCTAGCCGATATTTCATCGCTTATGTTGATTTTAGATGAATTTGCAGTGGTGGGATTAGCACCCAGGAAAATGTCAGTCTCGTCATCCATCGAGTGTTTTGTTTTCCTGTTTAGACGCTTCGATTTCATCCTCGTCCGCCATATTTTTTTTCCTCATGATAGCTTTGTGTTGTTCAATATCTGCAATAATATTTCTGGTTTTAAATTCAGGAAAAAATTTAGCCCTGGTTCTTAACTCAAAGATTAAAAATCAGCTTATTTAATTGGTCATAGATCTCAACTTTGAATTGAGACTCGACCTAGGTGCAAACATGGAATAGAAGCTCCTTGGAATCTAAAACAAATGAAAATTAAATAATTCACCTTCAAAAGGCAGTTCCGGATCTTCGTCAAGATTGTCCATTTCTGCAAAGACTCCATTCATTTCCACTTCTAGTTCTCGGATTCTCTCTTCCATTCTTCTTCTCTCCGCCATTTTAAATAAACTAAAAGCTTAAAAGTAATTAAAACGAGACTTTCTCTGTACGACGTCAACGAACGCCAAGAAACGAATGAAGCAAGAAAAGAGGGGATCTAGAGTCAGCACGACACATAGATAGGCATCATTTTTCTTAATATCTCTAAAAATGGCGTCACCTAACAACAAGTTGCGGTACTACAAGTAAATTTATCTTCGAACAAGGAAATGAAATATAAGCCACGTTTTAAACTATCGTTAATAGGAATAGTTCCTATGGAAGCGGCGGAGTGACTGACTTAAACTTCTACCTGCCTGTCCATGTTACATCGTTCGATGGAAGATCGTTGCCAGTCAAGGGAACACACCTTAGGATTAATGGCTTGCTCAGAGTAAATTCTTACAACACGATAATTCTTCAAGTAGATTCACTGAACAACATAACAAAAGTCGACGAAACTATTAAGTCAAATTCAGAGCTCAAGGACAGGTATTGAGCATTGAAAATTGTGTAAATGGAGGAGTGTTCAAAAGACGACTCCAACCATAAAGCAACATTCGTGAAACATCACAAACCAACAGAATCACCGAAATCGAAAATTCCATTAAAAGTAAGTTTAATCTTTCTGTCAATGAAAAATTCGTTAGTTCGATTTTTTTAAATAAACAATGTTTATCTTGATTAAAAATATTGATTATAGTTTAGAATAGAAATAAATAGTATTTAATAGTTAGTTTAAATTGAATGTTTTGCTCGTGAGGAAGCTTTGTAGTCGTTTAATTTACAAAATTTTTAAAAACACTTTTAACAAATTTTCTTCTATATGGGACTATGTTATATAAGCCCCTTAACTATTGTCCGGATGTATGTATATGTGTGTGTGGATCCCGATTTTTGTGAACACGATAACTCGAAGAGGTTTGAAAGAATTTGGCTAAAATTTGCCAGGTATATTTATCATAAAAATATCTCGAAATGGATTGATAGATATAGACTTAAAAAAATTCTCAGAAAATTTTTTTTTTGACTTTTTTCTAAAAAAAATTTTTTAACTTGCTTATTGAAGTTAATATATAATAAAATCTTATTCTTTGCATCAAGACGAATAGATTGATGTATACAAAATATAACTTTTATGAGAATTTATAGAGTTAATCGCAATTAAAGCTGAAAAATTCGCATTTTTATCAAAAAATGAGTTCTTTCCGCAAAATTATGTTGCTGTATAAGAAAATCTTACTCATTTATTTATAAAATCTGATTCTATGCACCAAGACGGATCGATTGGTATATATAAAGTATATATTGTATTTAAATTTATAGAATTAAAACCAATTATAAACAGAAAATTTGCACTTTTAAAAAAATTATTTTTTTCTTAAAAATCATGTTGCTGTACAATAAAATGTTATTATTTATTGAAAAATAAATTAAAAAATCTTATTCTTTGTATCAAGACGAATCGATTGATGTAATTTAGGAATATATTCTATTGAAAATTATAGAATTAGTTACAATTGAGGAGCTGGATCGAAGAACCGGCTCTTCGCTCGGACTGCACGCACTGTAAATAAAAGGTTCTACATTAGAGCTGATTTTCGGTATTAAAATAGAACCAAATGACGATTTAGTACTAAAATTGGTACTAAATTAGTACCTTTCTTTTTATAGTGCGCACTAATACCAGTCGGGTAGAAGTGAGTGGCACAGAGGCGCTCACTGCCACCCAAATGATATTAGCGCTTGCGGTCCGAGCGAAGAGCCGGTTCTTCGATCCAGCTCCTCAATTAAAGTTGAAAAATTCACTTTTTTACTAAAATTTTTTTTGTTTATTTAGATTCATATTACTGTATAAGGAGAATTTTATTCTTTCTATTAAGACGAATGAACTTTATTTTATAATTGTTAAATTGTATTAAATATGATTTAAAAATGAAATATACTTATCGTTAACGCTTCCTCCACAAAAAAGCAAATTTTTTTGCTGATCATAAAGAGGAAGCAAAATGTTCATGTAATGAACATCTGGATTTACAACTTGTTTAGTATTATTAAAAATTAGATTTCGTGATTGTTTGTGATGAACGAATTTACATATGTAGAATCTTTTATTATTATTTTTATATAGGGGAGTATAGTCGAGGTTGGACCACTATCTAGCTGGCCATTCGCGTTTTTTTGTCAAGTTCACTAGCGCCACCTACGCGCATACTTGTTGAAGCTTGTCTTAGTAAAATCTTACTTTTTGTTCAATTACATTTTCGGAGAATCGAGAATTGTGTTTTCTGTGACGTCGGTACAAAAAAGCTCAAAAAAAGTTTTGTGCACCATGTGAAAAATCATTAATAAAAGATAAAAAAAATTGAATCGTCAAGGCAAGCATGCAGAAATTTTGTGGGACTCATGGTTGAAAGAAAATCAAAGTGAAAAATCGAATCCCGAAACGTATTTCTTTTTGGTTACAACAATTCGGTAATGTTACTTTCTGTCAAGGTCGGCCACTTTGTGTTTAAAATGCGCAAAGATGAGGACGAGCTACATCATTAGCAAAAACTGCAATTCTGTATAACTCATAATATAATTGATCATCTTATTAATATTTTTATTTAATTTTATTAATATTTCAATGCAAAATTTTTTTTTAATTATATTTATTTTTTTATATTGTTTATTTTTATAATTTTGTTATTTCATTAAGTTACAAGCTGTAAACAATAAAGAATCAATTTTCCGTAAATCCAAACATGTTATTTCATTTTTTAACGATTAATGCCCTTTGAATTTTAAACATGGACCGACCTTGACTGTAAGGACCAACCTGGACTACAAATTTTTTTTTTAATCTTTATAGAGTCATTCCATTATATTTTGACTAAAGTCGTTGCCGACTAATTTTAAAAAATTGTAATATATTGCAGGAATGATTTTAAAGATATTAGGATCACCGAACAAAAAGAATTTTTAAAATATTTTTTATATTTATTGTAAAATAAGTATATGAAGTCGTAAAAACTGTCACATTTTCATCTATGAGAAAATATTAAAGAAAACACATCATTTACTATAAAAACGTAAAAAAATTATTAGAATTTATTAAGAATGAATTATTTTATTATTATAAATTGGGAGAAACAATTATTAATAAGAAATATTAAATAAAAAATTATTTTAAAGTTCACCTGGCAAATAACCTATTTTTGCAAATTTCATTCACTAAATGTGAGAAAGAGAAATCATTAAATTGAATAAAACCTTATGAAATATAAAGTACCTGTGATTAACTTTTAATTTTTCTTATCACTTTTTTCACAAATATTAAAAAATAAGCAATTATAATTGGCACTTTGCTTATTTTCACGATTTTCAAATGTAAATAACTTCTGCCCAGAAAAATGAAAAATTACGAAAATTGGGCAATAATTAATTCATCACTAGATACACTTACTGGAAAAAGATTTTCTTTGGTCCCAAAGCTATTTTCCGAATTAATTAACTTTTAACTTTTTACTATTTTTATCAGGTTAATACATGTGTTTTTTAAAGGACGAAGTTAGCTCTTCTTGTTTAATCGTTTTGAACCAACTTCAGTTTTAAAGAAATCACATGTATTAACCTGATAGAAATAGTAAAAAGTTTAAAATTAATTATTTCGGAAAATAGCTTCGGGACCAAAGAAAATCTTTTTCCAGTAAGTGTATCTAGTGATGAATTAATTATTGCCTAATTTTCGTAATTTTTCATTTTTCTGGGCAGAAGTTATTTACATTTGAAAATCGTGATAATAAGCAAAGTGCCAATTATAATTGCTTATTTTTTAATATTTGTGAAAAAAGTGATAAGAAAAATTAAAAGTTAATCACAGGTACTTTATATTTCATAAGGTTTTATTCAATTTAATGATTTCTCTTTCTCATATTTACCCAGTGGGCACACTTGTTCAAAAGACGTCCTAAGGATGTCTTTTTCCGGACGTCTTTTGGACTTGTACAAAAAGACGTCTTAAAGACGTCCTATTTATGTTCTATGTCTTGGCCATTAGATGTCTTTAAGGTGTCTAAAAGACGTCTTTTTCATTCAACATTTGAAAATAGAAAAATTTTCATAAATAGAAAATATTATTTTCTAAGTTCAACTTGGACTAAGAAATTTATGAATGTGAAATTCATTGGAATTTTTCTAAGTTAAATTCATTTTATTGACAAGTAAGATCGTTAACTTTGTAGAGGTTCATATCTGTCTTAAACGGCTGAGGTGCTTAAGGCGCAGTGTTTCAAGCCCAAGGTATCAGAGTTCGATCCCAGCTTCGTAGGAATTTTTTCATTATTTCTCCACATTTTAGAAAAAATAAAATTAAACTTAAAATAAATTTAATACAATGTTACTGAATTTCAACTAAAAAAATGTTATAAAAGAAATGTTTATTTAAGATCTGAAGGAATGTAAAAAGGACGTCCAAAAGACGTCTTTTAGACGTCCTTTCTTATGTCTTTTAGACGTCTTTTGGACCAGACATAGAACATCTTTTAGTTGACTTTTTGATGACTCAGAGACATTGTCATCATTGTCCCTGAATCGTCCGCGGACAAAAAGGGACGTCTTTAAGACGTCTTTTAGACGTCCCTGTGCCCACTG